TTCTTAACTAATGATTTTTTTTTTTTGATAAAGTCTTTGTCTATAAAATAAGTTAAGGCTCTCAAATCTAAAAGGCTAAGAATTTATGATTTTTTTTATCCTAAACAGACTTCTATAGTGAAACAAAATCAATGATCTAAAGAGAGAATAAGACCTTTATTAGGTGTTACGTAAGATTCTAGCCGCATGGTCCTTTTTGTAGTTCAAGAAATTTAATTTCTAGTACATCATTTTCTTTGGCAACCATGCTCTTTATTTTGTGATTGCATTGCTTCTTTGAATAATATTAAGTAATGTGCTTGGATTCTCCACAATATAAGCATAAACCTTTTTAATGATGACAAATCTTTTTTAACTCAATATGAAATTTAAAATGTACTACAATAATTTACATAGGTTCTAGCTTGGATGAATAAGCTTTTGAAAACTTAGAAGGTGTTGCCATGGCTTGACTTATATTTCTTCAATCAAATCTTTATTCTTGATGTCTTTCAAAGAATGAATTATTACATGTAATGACTTGAGTAATAAATTATTCTAATTAATCTATTCTTGGTATTGTCATCAATAAATCTTTGACATTATCTTTCAATCCATATCAAAATTAATTGATAAAGACTTTGTCATTCTAATCCACATCATAAGCAAGATTTTGGAATTTAACAGCATATAAAATAGCTGAATGTGATTTTTATTGTAGAAATATGAGTTTGAACTTTACTATTTTTTTTATCACTTTTTCTAAATATAGTTATAAATACTTCTAAAAATGAATTCAAATTATAGAATAATCATAAATCTTTTCATATCAAAAGTGCAAACTAAGAAAGAACACTCTTAGAAAAAAATGCTCCTTTAAATCCGACTTGAGTAAATCCATCAAAGTATTGAAAAAGTTTTAATTCACAAATAAAGCTTTATTTGTTATAAAAACCTTCAAAATTTTGATCTTATTCCATCAAACTTCTTCGGCATACTTATCTTTATCTCCTTTATACTTATAATAGCAAGACTTTTTGGATTTAGTTGTGAACTTGAATTACTTGCACCTCTTAACTGTACAATTTCTTTACACAAACTTTGAACTTTATTGTTGACTTCTTCTATAGTTGTAGGAATAATACCTCTATATTTCACATTAAAAATACATGAGATTTTTACTCTAAGATTATTAAAAAGCTTCTAAAGATCTATAATAATTACAAATCTATTCTCACTTCTACTAAGAATAGCATCTATAATCTTTTCTTCCATAGATACTTCAAAAAAATTCAAAAAGTTAAATTAAAAGAAAATAATTTGTAACCTCTTATATCAAATGAAAATTCCTATGATGAGGAGTAATCAATTATTATTCAAAAAAAAATTATTGTTAAAAAATTTAATTATTTGTTTAAAAGTTAATAATCTAAAACCTTCAAAATATAATAATAGAAGTAGAGTAATCTTCTCACTTCTAAATCAAGACAAAAAAATAAGTTAGGACTTTTATAAAACTATCAAAAATATGAACCTCAAAGAACAAAAAGATCAATATACTCTTATGTCACTTAAAAAGTCTAAAAAATCACTCAATGATGATATAGTATTAAACTATAATGGCTATTGTCAAAGAAAATAAGACTAAAAAGACTTCAAATAAGACTAAAAATTAGAAAGGTATTGACAAGAGTGAAAAAGGCTTAACTCTTACTTCCATATATACTATCTAACTAGGAGCTATGTAGCAATGTTCTATAGGACCTCCAACACATGTTAACTTTGCAAGAAATATCTTAATTTGTAAGGAAACTTTTCTATAGGTGCATTACATAATTAACTTATTTCATAAGCTATCAACATGTGTGAAATATAATTAACTTATTGATCAAGTTTTTAACTTAATAATTAACTAAAAATATGTATAAAGTCAAAATCACATCTATAAAGCTTCTAAAAAGTTTTTCTAAAAAATGTTAAGAAATTAATCTACTTTTATCTACTTCTACCTAATCATATAAATAACTATTGGAATAAATATGTATATCCGTTGTTGGAATAGAGAGAGTTTGCCTCAAGAAATCGCTAGGCTTTTAGCTGCCACTAAATGCTCAATCAAGTTTAAGATATAAAAGTACCAAGTTTATATATATAATATATTCTCTTTTAGAGCAATTACATCAAAATATAAGCCCAAGTACTAAGTAAACATCCAAATGTATGATAAAGTATCTTAAAATCTTATATATCCTTATGAAAAATGTTTCCCAAACTTCAACAGCTCATAACTCATGATTGGACTCTCAAAAAAATCGTAAATCTTACAAAAAGTATTAATATACTTTTAAAAACTATCACAAAAAATTCAACTTTAAATTCATTACGGATCTTGAGATATCACCAAAATCCTAATAGTAGCTTAAAATCCTAGCTTATATACATCTACGTGCTAATTCCCTCATATCTCACAAAATAAATATTTAAATACCATGAAACTTTGATTTATAGCTTCTTAACTTTATAACTCATACTTATAGAGATTTTGAGCCAAAAATTCGTCTAAAAACTCAAGATATGGCTCCAACCATTACTATCAACAAAATGACTCACTTACTGCCTTTGAATTACATGTGCTGTCTTCAATGCCCTATAACTCCTTCATCTAGACTTAGAATTCTTCAAAAAATATATATATAGTATAGTTAAGAAAGTGTTCTCTCCAATTTTAGTCGTTGATCTTTCATTTCTCTCCGTATGCATATATTATGCTTCAAAGAGTGACAGTAGGTACAAATTTGATACCTTAACTTTGAACACCTATATCTCCTTTACTAAAAATCGAAATCACACAAACTCTTTACCCAAATTATACCTAAAACCCTGAACTTACTGATTGTAGCCTCCAAAGCTCGAATGACTTCAAAAAAAAAACCCTAATCCCTAATAAGGCCTCAGTCAGCCTCCTTAAAGCCCATTGGGCATGGCCTTCGACCAATAAGAATGAAGTTTCCCATTCTTTGCCTTCATCCAACTATGCCTTGCTTTCATCCCTCCCAATAAGCCTCCTATTAGTTAAGATTTTCTTCTTTAGGCTCTAATCTCCTCTCAAGGCTTTTTTTTTAAATGCTATAATCAAAAAAGATGAAATTCAAAATAAAATTTCTTAAATCCACTCTCTTTAAATTAATCTATTAACCATCTTAGCATACACCAAAACTTATGAACATATTATATGTTCTAACTAATTTTTACATACTATAAGCAATTATAGTACGATACCGTGATATTTAATCTTCTTACACAAGTATTATCATTCCATCAATTTTGGGAGATAGTTTTTTCTTGTCTTTAAGAACTCTTAAAAAATTTAAACTAAGTATTTGAAATTTAATTAATTAATTATTTTATTCTACTTTAATAATATTTTTTATAAGAATATAAGTAATAATCTTTATTTTTTGTAAAAATTTAATTAAATTTTATTTTTTAATTAATATTTTTATTTTTTATAAACCTTTATCATGACAAATATTTGCATAATTTTTTTAAAATATTAAAATATATATATATATATATATATATATATGTTAAAAAATTAATTTTAATTTTTTTGAAAAAATATTTAAAAGCTATTCAGACCAAGGTTTTAGGAATGGTATTTTTTAATTTGTACATTTGGAATTGTAAATAAAAATAAATTAATAAGGTACCACTTGATTCAAGCATTCTGTTTTTTGCACATGTGTACAATAAAATCTAGTTGTAAGACTCTTAAGACTTGGATGTTTTATAATTAATAGTTATTTTACCTGATTTTTTAAATTAAAATTTATAGATTTGGACCTATATATGTGTTTTTAAAATTGATTTGGATCTTAAACATGTAAAGTTTCACTTAAATCCAGTACTCTGTGTGTAAAAATCGGTTTATTAAAGTTATGACAGTAAGAAAGAAACGACTCTAAAAACAGTTATCAAGTTTTATATTTTTGAAAAAGAACATGTAAAGTTGCATGAAGTAAATGAATAGTTTGTATGTTAAATCTAAAAACATATGCAAAAAAAAAAAAAAAAAAAAAAAAAAATGGATTCACAAATACTAAGTTTAAATTTAAAATATTAGCATCAATTTTGAAATATATATTTTTTATTTTACTTTTTGATAGAAAGCTCTATAACTGTTCTAATACACATGGTTGGTTTTTGGAAGTTTACAGAGTTATGCAATAACTATTGCAATATTATTCAATAATTAATAAAGTGTTAATTTTATTAAAGTAAAAAATATCAATTGTTATGCTAATTTTGTGAACTTTGTACAACTTTGTTTTTACTGATGTTAATTTTAATCTTTTTGAAAGTTATAAGAAAGTTATATATAATATTGTATATAGAGATATGTTTTATAAAATATAAATGAAGGTCTATGAATTAAAAAGATTATCACATGTCTAATTGAATAGTCAAGATTTCTATATTATTACCTTAATGAATATGTTTATTAATTTAATTACTCTTGTTTTGAAATAAATTATGTATTTTAAATATTTTATCTATAAATATATTTATATATGAAACTTGGAGCTCATTATTTATTATTATAAAAAATTATTTATCTATATGATTATTTGAAAAACTTTTTACGTAAACCAAGACAAAAATAAAAGTATATATGTATTTTGTTTTTATCCATGAATTACAATTTTATACTTTACAAGACAAATCCTCAATTTATGTTCAGTATAAAAACACACACACACACACACACACACAGACATTCTTTATAAAAATTAGGAACATTTGTTTAAAAGCAAAACGAAATTCAACGAGTAAATTGGGTCACTATATTTGTGGGTGGATAATTAAAGAAATGGAAGTAAGATTAAGCGACCGTAGCACTCGGTGCTTGGGAGTACGTCAGCTCGAACGGATGAACAGAACGACAACATGTATGAACGAACAGAAAACATCCCAACTCATCCAACGTTTCCATGTGTGCATGCATGAGTCCATCACTTCCGGTGCACTTGAAGAAGACGAGAATTCCGCCTTCGAAGTTGCGCGGTTCCAATTGCGGGGGAGAAAAAAAGTATTCCCTACCTGTGATTTAGAATGTGTCGCTGAAGGAAAAACTCAACCAAAGATAGATTTTTTCTCTCGTGTTGTCCATGCATTTCGTTTCCGAAGCTGCCATCGAATTGGGTCCGGGTCTTCTTTTTTGCATTTGGCTTTGATTTGATATCCACGAGCTCTGGTGCAGATTGTCGCTTGATCGTGTTCCTGGATGTGGGTCGTGTTGCATTTTGTTTTGCGCCTCAGTAGAGCGTGCTAGTTGGCCTGTCGAAGAGTTCAAACCGATGCTCGGAAGCATATGCTGTTGGGTATGAAATGGGGGTTTCAGGGTCTAGGGTTGTTGGCCTGTTGGGGAATAATTGTGTTGGGGATGAGTTTTAGAATGTAGGAGGTTTGTAGACGGGGATAGAGATGGGGATTAAGAGGAGAGGAAAAGGTGTGAACTGGGGGCGTGTTCTTAAACTCGCTGTGTTTTCTCGCCTTCTCGTTTTGAGCTTGTTTGTGTTGTGGAGAACACTTGCTTCGCCTTACGATACCTCGGCGGCTCTCAATCCTCCTTGCTTGGATCCTAACCAAGGTAATTCTGCGCTTCAGTTTATATTCGTTTCTGGGCTATTGCAAATGCACGCCAGAGTGCTCTCCTATTCAAGGATCGTTTTCCATCGGCTGACATCGTCAATGTCATCCATTAACCCGAAATCGGTTTGGACATCAAAGTTCATAGAATAATTTTCGCAAGTCTCTTATATTACAGAAAATATAATAAAGTCTATTTATAATTTACAAATTATCGTTTATCATGGGCTCCTGTAAGGTTCTGATAGGCATTGATCTTTGTACGTTCTTTTACCAATTTCGTTCATCGTTCTCTTAGTTGGTATAGAACGATATTGATACTGAGACAAACAGTTGTTGACTCATTGAACTTTGAGTTTACTAGATAGTCACGGGTCTGATCGTGACGAGGTGATTGCGCCGGTGGTTTGTTTGCGTGACTGGTGCAGGCAATGAAGCGCCGGTAAAGTGGAAGAATTTAGGTGCTGCGATCGAGGAGCTAGTTGTGTGGGATTCAGTCTATTACGTGCGCATTGCGGAGTGTGGCTATGAGTATGAACAGACGCATGCTTTCTTTCCGGCTTTGCCGTTGATGATTCGTTTTGTGGCGAGGAACAGTAAGATAATCTCTTCTCTTATTATTGTGGTAGTCCGGTAATAAGTTGTACCTCAATTAGCGGCATGTTTTCAGTTTCAAAGGTGATCATACAGCTCTTCAACATCCTCCACAATGAGAGGACGGTGCATTTTATCTTGAATCTATCTATAGTGAAAGCTTGAGCCATTTTGTTATCCAGCAATTTTTTTAATCATGCAATGAAATTTTTGGTGATCAGCTGTGTTCTAATACGTGTTTATGCGTGAATGTCAGTATTTAACAGGCTGGACCTGTTGGTAGGCCACAGGGCTACCCTTACTGTCAGCGGCTACGTGATCACGAATGTATCTTTTGTGTTTGCTGCCCTCTACCTTTACAAGTTGACACACTATGTGGTGGAAAAGGAAGATCTTGCTTGGAGAGCAGTATGCTTATTCTGCTTCAATCCGGCATCCGTGTTCTACTCTGCCATGTATCCTCTACAACTGCGTTAATACTTGTAGCTGGTCGTGATTCTCTCCCGATCTACGTCAAACGTGATGTTTCCAGACTTCATCTGTAATGGATTATTTGTTGTACGAGAAGCTGAAAGTAGACATACAACCGTTGCTGAATCAACCTTGATATTTTTTCATCTACGACATGGCAATTACGTGAAAGTGTTTTCAAAGTGTGCTCCCTTAATAATGAGGCAAAGATATTCAGAAAGCTTATTCGCTTTTTGCTCTTTTTGTGGGCTTTGGCAATTTGTGGCGGGGAGGACGTGGACAGCAGCTCTTCTCTTTGGGCTGTCAAGTGGAGTACGCTCTAATGGTGTATTGCATGCTGGTTTTTTCCTTTTCCAGGCAATGCACTGCGCTTATATCGCAGCAACACAGCAGGGCCGCTGTATGGTATGGCCCTCGCTCAAATTATGTTTCACGCGTAGTGGGAGTAATTTGAGTTGTCTCCTAATTTTTTAGGAGAAATTTACAATCTCTCCATGTCATAGAAGCTGTAGTTTTTACCACTGGTGAGGTAGGTCAATTTGAAAACAATGAGTGACATAGGAAAACTGACAGTATTAAGTTCCAATTGAAAAAGTAATATTTTCCAGAGAAGGCATTGGGTTCAGAAACAATGACTTGGGATTGCCCGTCTTGTTAAACGAAAAGCTCTTTACATTGTCCTCGTAGTTTATGAAAAGCGTGTTCAGAGGATTTCCTACATCAATTTACTAGTGCTTGACCCTTCTGTGTTCATTATTTTATGTCTTCCTCTTTCTTGAACAGAGAGCTGTGCTGGCTGTAGTCAAAGCCATATTTCAGAGTTTGGTTACAGTCGCTCCGCTGATAGCATTTCAAGGATACGGATATTTGCAGCATTGTGGTTCATCGAAGGAAGGAACTGAGGAGATAGCTCGTCCTTGGTGTAATGCAACAATTCCTTATCTATATGGCTTTGTCCAAAGCCACTACTGGTATGTATCCAACGAGAATTGTAATTTACAGCTACGACAAATGTAATGGAAAACATGTCTTGTTAAGAATGCATTCAAAGCTGTTAAAGCTGAGAAATACCTGTTAGATGATATTTACATAGAAAATGAAGCATTATGAATGATACAGCTGAGTCTCTGCTTGGTCTTTATTCGCATAATGGGGTCTGTTAGTGTTTGTAGTTGCTTTTCCTGTGAATGTATGTTGCTCTATTGTTTTGTAACACCTCATCAGTGGAGCATCAATTATTTGATCATTGCGCCCTTTTTTACATTTCAAAAATAGTGCTTGAACGAGGTTTCCATGGGTTCTGTGCAGGGATGTGGGGTTTCTTCGTTATTTTCAAGTCAAGCAAATTCCCAATTTTTTGCTCGCATCTCCTCTTCTGGTTCTTGCAGCTGCTGCACTTTATACCTATGGAAGTTTTCAGCCACGCCTTTTCTTCTCACTTGGGTTTAATATCCCTCTCTCGCAGTGGCGGAAGTTGGCTTTGTTGCCTGAGAATAGTGTTGTGAAGAAACAAGTTAACAAGGATAACCTTGACGACTCTAGTGCACTTCCCGGGCTCTCTGCTCTTGCTCCAGAAGTTGTTCAAGGTATCTTCATTTCTCTCTTGTTACGGAAGAGCATTAAAGAGTGTCAAGGAGCACCTTCTACACCTTGGTGCAGTATGTGTGCCGGGGGCTTTTCGCTCATCCCTTTAAGTTGCGGCACAATTCTCACTATTGTGATGTACTGTAATCTTGAATGGCTTACAGTGTACGATATTGGCTGTGTTACATCTTTAAGGAACAAGTTTAACACTTGTATTTTGGTTTCTCAGAACTACGACATCGCCGTGGAATCAAGGCCGATATTAATGTAGAGAAGTCGTATGCTGAGGACAGTGTAAACAGCTTTGAGGGTTTCTACTCTCCAGCAGCTGTCTGCTTTTTGATACAAATGGCAGTTATGGTCTTTGTTGCCACATGCATCATGCATGTTCAGGTTTGTAATGCTTCTTCATTCTGACAACGCCGTTTGCCGATCTTGTTTGATGCTTTTGACAGTGAGATCCTTTCCTTATTCCGTGGCGTTACTCCTGTATGGGAAGGATAAGTAAGAATGTCTTGTGTGATTGTTACCTGTCTTTCCTTAAAACAACGCATTTCCACGTGGCGATAACTGTCAACTTGGTTGCAGGTTCGTCAGAGTGTTCTCCAAGATTTAGTAGGCATCCACGATGTCGTAGACGTTTCTTAGTGGCAGTTACAGTTCTACCATTGTTCCAATTGCTGACCACATTCTTCAATGTGCAGGTGGCTACGAGGTTTTTATCGGTATGTCCACCTATTTATTGGTATGCTGCGCATCTTATGAAGAGCTCGGTGAAGGAGATCTCGATTGGGCGCATTATATGGACGTACTATTTGAGCTTTCTCGGCCTTGGCTCCCTTCTGTTCATTAATTTCTACCCATTTACTTGATACATTCTCAGGCATTATGGTTACAACTCTAGTGCCTCCACTGACTGTCTCTGGCCTAGGTTCTCAGAAGCAGGTTCTGCAAGTGCTTTTTCTTTTGATTCTCATATGAAAGGAGTTGCATGTAGAAATCAAGGCAGCCTATTCTATTGCCGATGGAGCAAACTGAAACTGTTATCACTTGTTCAATATTTCGAATCTAGATCTGAAATCAGTTATAGCAGATACAAAATGTATAATCCACTCATAATTTATTTTTTCATTTACTTATATTTTTGATTCAACATGTACTACAGACAAAATTTCAAAGACTGTATCCTCTAGAAAACGCCTCATATGGAATGGGTTCCGAGAGGTTGATGATACATCAACATTCAATGATACAGCAGGGTATCTTATGTGTGAAAGCATTTTTTCTAAGGAATGTAGCTTGTGTGTAGTCTTCAGCAATGTACTGCAATCTCCACCAATTTGAAAACTTGGTATGTCTATATTACTTCTTACTGTAAATTATGCTCTTGTAAGTTCTGTCTGGAAGTGGTGGCGAATGGACTCCATTTAATTTATTTTAGTAATGGTGCTTGAAATGTTTGCCATTCTAAAAAGTTTGGTGTGCTGTTCTTAACTGTGAGCTTCTCCATAGCCACATCATTAATATTTCAGTGCTCGGGACGGTCTCCTGGTGTTAGCTCACTAAACTTCTTATCGGTCAAGTCATTTTTTACCTTATTTAGCTGCCGCCTGTTGACAGCTCCTTTATTAAATTTCCTGGGTAGTGGCTTAACGCTTGCATACTACATTCGTACACGGAAATTGCAAATACGCATTTTCAGTTGTTGACTATGCTGCAACATGAAATTGTTGATGTACACTAGTCTGTGTAGCTGGTAGTCATGCTGGTGTCTTGTGTTAAATAAATATTAAAAAATAAAAATGAAGAAAGCATACGTAATTAAGAGCTGTAGTAAACAACTCATACCACATTGATAAGTTGAACAAAGTCATTTGATGAAATTCATGTTGCTGGTGGTTCGTTTACTCAGTTTGCTAATGACTATGAAAAGCCTTCTTGACTTACGAATAGAAGGCTAGACATCAGGACTTCAAATTTCTTCCTGCATCTAATCGACCCAAGTTCATGAAAGAAAAGCTAAAAAAAAATGGATATGAAATTGCAGATATCCTCCTTTGCTTGTTTCCAAATCTAAACGCGAAGTCAGAGGTCATAGATACCAGTACTGTATACTTGCATGACCACTTCATCAGTACCACCTGTAAGAATCGATTGCATTCTGCAGTGTCGAGTGGTACCGAATCCTGACATCTACAGAACTTGATGAGATTCTCAGAATCCCACCCATAGTTCGACACTACTCACTGCTTTGTCAGGATTGGTTGGGGTCTTAGAGCCTCAGCTGTGGTGGGGATTCTGTGCTCTGTGGGGATCATCAGCCTTGTTGAGTGATGCACAACGAACTTGAAGAGCGAGAAGTAAACTGAGACAAGCCGCTTGCTTGATGCTCATTCAGTTGCCCAATGCAGGGAAAGAAATCCTGTTCTAAAATGGAAGGATACCACGGACTCATCAGTTTTCTTCTTAGATTCCATGTGCTTTGCCTTTTGCTGGAGACTTAACAGAGAAAGAGAGGGTAAGCTGAAATTATGTGAATAAACCAAACATACTTTTCGTCTGGTTTTTCCCCTTGTCACCAGCAGCAACAAAGTGCTCATAAAGTGCACACAAAAATCTACAAAAGTGCAGACTAAAAAGGCGAGGAACCCAATCAATATATGCCAAGCTTAGTGCTAATAAGACAAGTACAAAGCATTTCCATTCAGGATGCTTTTGCATGATGTGTTAAAATCTAACACACGTTCTTTCTTGGTTTTTTGTAAAAAGAAAACATGGAAATTTGATAGGTTGAATAGGGGCAGAATTTTAGGGAATGCAAGTTACCCACAAGGTTGTTATTAGGGTGATCAAGTCAAATATGGCCCATTGGTCTTGAGAAGGTTTCAGTTGTCTAAGTCCACTGCTTCCTTTCAAAAGAATAAAAATCTCATGAAAGGATTCATTGTAGAATGTGCACCCAGAATTCAAGCTATACCCATCAAACTTCTTCTGAAATCACAAACATAGCACTAGACTACGCTTTTGAGGAGAATTCTAAAAACCAATGTATGAAATTCAAGCTATACCCATCAAACTTCTTCTGAAATCACAAACATAGCACTAGACTACGCTTTTGAGGAGAATTCTAAAAACCAATGTATGAAAAACAAATATATTTAGATATATATATATATTTATTTATTTATTTATAATCTCAAATTTAAATACAATATGTTTGTAAATGTCAAGAATAATCTCAAATTTAAATACAATATGTTTGTAAATGTCAAGAATAAAATCCTTGAAATGTTGAACAAACCTTCTATTTGTTTGTGAGGTGAAGGTAGAAGTGGAGATTCATAGACATATTTTGATTGGAACTTTGAATTCATCATTTGAACTATTTCACTGAGAATTTTCATCAACTTCAACCTATAAAATATATACACAATTCACGAGCATTGAAAAAGAGAAACTACTTTGCCATGTTTGAAAAGGAGGGCACGTCTCTTGCAAGTAAAAAGATTTAACATCCCTAATGAATGAAAATAAAACCCTGGATCTTCATCTACACAGAAAACACAATGTTACAAAATGGTATGCACAAGTATCAAAAACGTGGTTGCTTAAGTTTTTGTTATGATAGAGCATGAACCTGCAGCACAATAAAACACATCCTGAAACTGAGTTTTATGATTGTATTTATACGGTAAAATAAAACACAACGGATTGAGAACTTAAATACAACTTTATTCAGTAATGGTCAGTGAGTTGGTATCTAATGAGCACACATCTGACACATTAAAGAACCCAAAGAAAAAATTAAAGACTTGGGCATTTCCACGCACCTGGGGTGGGGTTGAGGGTTTCTATGCAAAAAGGCTCTCTCTAGGATTTGGGTTTCTTCTTTGATTATTATTTTTTTTATTATTGGTGTCAGCAGTGTGAACACAGACTTTGAGGTAACTCAGAAAACCTGCATTATTGGTCTGGATGAATTATGAAAAACAAAAAAAACAAAAAAAACAAAAAAAATCTACCCCATCAAATACCAGGTTTTAGGGCAAAGAACAATGTCTGTCATAAGATTCATTATGTTTGTGAGTCCAGCGGTGGCCCGTTATCCTTTCAACCTTGTGCCATGGTTCGAGTGATGCTTCATTTGATCATTTTACTCACATTGCACTCATAACATCCATTTCATGTGACACTCTGATATATATATTTTTTCACCGAGGAAGATTCAAAAAGGAATTTTTTTACATCTTGTGTAGGATAGAACTTTTCATGGGTCACTGTAAATTTGCCCCTTTTGCAGCATTCCTTCTCTGTGATTTTAAGGTGGAATATTATGTAGGGTCAATGGAAAAGCGCATTATGAAACACAGTGGTGGAGTTTCAAGGCATGGAGTTTCAATTGGTGAAAGAAAGGTGTGACTGAACTGCTCATATAGAGCACAAAACATTAACAGATCTGAGCATGATTCTAAGATTCTTAACAACTTTAACAAACCATGACAGAGTGCGGAGAAGACGAAAAAGCTCTGTGGAGAATATATCTCAGTCGTTGTTTTGCCTTACCTCTTGGATTGCTTCACAAACTCGTCAACTGCGTAAATGAGAATTCGATCGGCGACTCTCGGTGCCGTTCTTTTGTTTTAGTTTTTTGCTTGTCCAGTTTCGCAAGCCTGGAAGGTCAGAGCAAATGATGGGGGAGCCTTTGCAGAATTGGAGGAATCAGGCGTCGTGGTCTTGCTCTGTGGGAAGGCCCCCCATATCCTGCAGGCACCTGCACTGAATCTATCACTCTCTATGGAGCAACAACCGGCATCAATATTGCGAGGAGGATAATCATGGTTCCTTTGCAGAGACCACCAACATTCCAGCTCCGTGGGGACAACGGTCAGAGATCGCTAGATACTCGTATGAATCTAGTTGCAGAAGGTGGGCACGAGCGCAGCATCTCCATTTTCGCTCGGTAGGAACTGCCCACATCACCAACTCTCCACCCACAGGGTCTACACACCCCGTGAACATTCCGGTAGCGGGGACCACCTGCCAAATTTGGACAAGTTCCATTCTCGACAGAGGAATAATACTGAAAAGGCGAAACCAAGTGGACCCCATCTATAATTTAACCGTCGTTGTATAGAGGATGTCAAGGCTCTGCCGATTTCAAGCTTTATCCCAGGAAACCGCTCAAGCATTCCCCGGAATTCATTCTGAGCGAGTCATAAGTCAAGCCCTCGTTACATCTTTATGGCCTCAACTCACAGTTCCACTGAGCAATGCAGCATCGGTTTGAATGCATATGTGAAATTTCCTGCACAATTTAATCAGGTAACTTAATGGCCTCGGCGATGTTACAATCAACTGGAACGACAGGGGTTCTTGAGTTAGGGCTGCACTTTGCTCTTCTAAGAGCTCCAATCAACTTCTAAGATCGCATAACAGATTCCACAGGGGATGAGAACCAGGTTAAGTCAACTGAATATTAGCACAATTTGGAAGATTAATTTAGCCCACACTGGGGCTAAGAGTCAGGAGTTTGCCAGAGGGGTCCAGCGTGACGATCCGACCTTTTCTTGTGCATGCAATTCCGTAATTCTTGACTACTCCCTTCCAGGATTACTAAGTTAATGAGAACAAGTCACCATTCATTGGTCGCTGGCGTATCACATCCTTGCAGGAACCCGCAAAGCCCACCAATGACTGACTTTTCGGTGTCTGCTTTCCTCGCTTCCGAAATTGCTAAGTTTCGAACTGAATCCCAGGCTCCTTTAACATTCCAAATTAACCACCAAGTGGGTCGTGCAGGTGTAGGAAGGAGCAGGGGCGATAGGATGCGGGTAACCGTCACCGCTATGCTGCCAAGAAGTTTTATCCGCAATGTCAAATGTAGATCCAGGGATTGTCGAAATCAATAAATGCATCCCTGCACTTGCAATAGCAAATGGGTGTTAGCGAGTGGAAGTTTCATGTTAATCCAACGGTGTCAATTCGCGGCGGCTCTTCGGGACCCTGACCAGCCGGCCCAAGGCCCTACCTGACTAGTGTGTTCGATGTGTTTGAGCCACCCTAAGGAAGCTCCGCTCGAAATCTCTTTATTAACTCACCGTCACCGAAGTGGGTGTAGTGGCCTGCCCTCCGAGTCCCTCCCACTCTCCAGCCTCTCCTCGTCTACCATCGTGGGGTGGCTGACCTGATCAGCAGAGCTTTCTGTGCCTCTCGAGTACTACACTCTCTGCAGTTGCAGTCGCGGTACTCAATTTTAGTAGCAGTACTCTCATCTATTTGCGCTGGAGAGAATTGGATCGGAGGCGGCGTGTGTAAGCAGCAGCAGCGGTGTTGGACGACCCACTCACTGACTGACTTTGTGGGGATGTGACTGGTTGATGTGAAGGACTTAGAGTGGGTGCCCACTCAAGTCGACGATTCTCTTATCTAACTTCTGATCAATTACTGATCATCTGGGTGTATTGTACACCCCCTGAAATTTGCGAATGGAAGCTCTTCATTTTACACCCCTTACCTTGCACCGTCAACCACAGGCCGCGCTGAGTATTCACGACAGGGGAATAAGTACGAAATCTCACGAGTCATCCGATCAGGGAAAACGCGCGCTCGGAGTTGTGCGAGGGGGAGTTGCTACTGGATCTCAGGCTGATTCGTCATTCGGAAGCAGGCAATTGCAAGCAGGATGCAACTTTTCGGGTCTCAGGAAAACTCGAGAGTTTGTGGAATGTTCGAAGAGCCGTAAGTGTAGGTCGGTCAATCGATACTGGTGGGAGTCTCTGAGACAGAGACAATCGAAATTTTATTTTCTACCTGTGAGAGCGGGATTATCTTCCGCGCCGGTAACAAACCAAGGATTGTACGATCCTTCTTTTGACAAGGATGGGTGTGGCGTCGGCTTCATTGCCAAGCTCTCCCAGGAGCCGAGCCGTGACATTGTAAGCTCGTACATCCCATAATCAGGATTACATTGTGAACAACTCTACTTTCCTTCGATACCTCAGCAGTTTCGATCAGCATACGTCGATAGTAAGCTGCTATTGCGTTTGCTTCTCAGAATGCTCGTGATGTCGAACAAGAGTTAAAAGTTTTTCAGTTGCAAAGAGCATTGTGGTCGTTTTCGTTTGAGTTGTCTCTGGTGCAAGCACACAGGGTGCGTTATCTTAGGATCGAGCATCTTGGTATAGATTTAAGGAAATCCTTTGTCCGAAAAGCACAGGTTTTTCTAGTTTACCTGCTTCGAGAGGATGTTCACACAACTAAACCGTCTGACGACAGGTTAAAGATGCATTGGAAATGCTTGAGCGCATGGCTCACAGAGGAGCCTGCGGTTGCGAAGAGAACACTGGAGATGGCGCTGGAATTCTCGTCGGCATTCCGCACACATACTTCTCCCAGGCACGTACAAAAAAATGTGCATTCCAGTTGATTTCTTTGGAGCACTGTGGCTGCAGATTTATATGTTCAATGTTAACCAGCGGAGCAAGACTTGCGCCGTAGCTTGGTCTTGAAGCTATTTCCTTACGCGAATTGCAGTGTCTCAATCTGATATTTGTATGAACTCTGCACAATTCAACAGGTTGTACCCGAAGATTTAGGATGCGACTTGCCACCTCCGGGGGATTACGCCGTGGGTATGATGTTTCTGCCTACTTCAGAGATTCGTCGAGAGCACGCTAAGAAGGTGTTTACCGAGGTAGCTGAGGCCCTTGGTCACACGGTGCTGGGATGGCGCCGCATTAAGACCGACAATTCGGATTTGGGAAAATCGGCCATTCAGACCGAGCCTGTTATTGAGCAAGTGTTCCTCACTTCAAGCACACTTTCGAAAATCGACTTTGAGTCGCAGGTGTGTTTTCTTTGTTTTCACCTATGGCTTGTCTTACCTTATAGTCAGACTAGCTTCTTAATTGTCCAGTCGAGACGCTTCGAACAAGGCGCAACTAACAAACTGTGGATCTCCGTGCAATCCTTTGTCAGATGTACATCCTGAGAAAAACTTCAATGTTGGCAATCCGGGCTGTTCTCAACTTGAAGCGAGGTGCTGCCAAGGATTTCTACATCTGCTCTCTTTCATCTAAAACTGTTGTGTACAAGGGACAGTTGAAGCCCAACCAGCTCACGAACTACTACTACGCAGATGTCGGTGACGAGAGATTCACCAGTTTTATGAGTATTGTACACTCTCGATTCTCTACCAACACTTTCCCTAGCTGGGACCGGGCCCAGCCTATGCGCATGCTCGGCCACAACGGAGAAATCAACACACTGCGAGGAAATGTGAACTGGTATGTCTCGAAATCCAGTTTTCACACCTTGCAAGTGAGCTTGCAATCAGCATATTGTTTGGAAGATAATGTTCTGCCTAGCATCTAACCAGGGACCGTCAGCAAGTTGATGTTTGTGCTGTGACATTGGTTTACAGGATGCATGCTCGCGAGGGTCTTTTCAAGTGCAAGAACCTAGGGCTTTCCCCGGAGGAGCTCAAGAAGCTACTTCCAATTGTTGACGCTGGTTCTTCTGACTCTGGTATGTCTCTGGAATTCCCGCTTCTCCTGTTCATGAGCTATTTTTCTTTGAGAGGTTCCATCCATTCAAGGTTATAACTCTTCCGTCATGATTTCCAGGTGTGTTCGATGGGGTCTTGGAGTTATTGGTGCGGGCTGGACGCTCTCTCCCTGAGGCTGTCATGATGATGATTCCCGAGGCATGGCAGAACGACCCTAATATGGACCCCGAACGCCGCAATCTCTATGAGTACTTCTCGTGCATCATTGAGCCCTGGGATGGGCCAGCCCTTGTGACATGTAAAAATTCACTCCCTATTGATTTCTATCAACACTCTTGAAATTGATGACTGCGATTCTTGTGGGTCTTACTCTGGATGCACCTAACACAGGCATTGTGCTTTGTAGTTACGGATGGAAAGTATCTCGGTGCCACACTTGACCGAAACGGACTACGACCTGGACGTTTCTATGTAACTCACGATGGCCGCGTTATCATGGCCAGTGAAGTAGGAGTTGTTGATGTAGAGCCCGAGAATGTTGCCCAGAAGGGCCGTCTCCATCCCGGTACAATGCTCCTCGTCGACTTTGAGAACCACAAGGTGGTCGATGGTGACGAGCTTAAAAAACAACAATCGTCTAGGTATCCTTATGGAGAGTGGCTTGAACGGCAGAGCTTTACCCTGCAGGACGTTGTCAACTCAGTGTCAGAGAATCTGCGAGTGCCTCCCGCCATTCTTGGTGATAAGAATGTGGCTAGTCCCAATTTTTCTGCGTCGAACATGGGAGTAAAGGGGTTGCTAACACCCCTCAAAGCCTTCGGGTAAGTTGTCAGCTAAATACATTCTTTTGCAACGATCCTGATTATTCAATTGCGTTGGTTTACTATCTCGGGTTTCCGCAAAACGGGCAAAAATTCTTTCACTAACAGCTTCTTTTTTTGATACTTCTCCCAGATACACCATGGAGAATTTGGAGATGCTGCTTCTTCCAATGGCAAAAGATGGATCGGAGGCGTTGGGATCCATGGGCAATGACGCTCCATTGGCGATGATGTCCAACAGGCCTAAGCTCGTGTTCGAGTACTTCAAGCAGATGTTTGCTCAGGTCACTAATCCGCCAATTGATCCAATTCGGGAGGCCATTGTGACGTCCACTCGGTGCATGGTTGGTCCTGAACACGATCTGACCGAGACTGTCGAGGAGCAATGCAATCGTCTCTCCTTAAGCGGCCCGCTTCTCGATCTCGGGGAAATGGAAGCAGTGAAGAAAATGGAGTACCGCGGCTGGAAGACCATGGTTGTCGATACCACCTTCGATAAGTCTGAAGGCCCTGCAGGCCTCGAAAGCGCTCTCACCCGTATATGTGCTGAAGCTCGCAATGCTGTTGCCGAAGGTTACTCCATGTTGGTCCTCTCCGACAGAGCAACATCGGCTCAAAGAGTACCAGTGAGCTCGTTGTTGGCCACTGGAGCTGTGCACCATCACTTGGTACAGTCGATGGAGCGTACTCGTATTGGACTTGTGGTGGAATCCGCCGAACCTCGTGAGGTGCATCATTTCTGCACACTTGTTGGTTTCGGAGCCGACGCTATCTGTCCATACCTGGCGATTGAGACCATTTCCAGGCTTCAGGTCGATGGAAAGATCCCTATGGAGTGGTCGAGGGAAGAGCTTGTGAAGAAATATTTCTACGCGAGTAACTCTGGAATGCTGAAGGTTCTTGCAAAGATGGGAATCTCCACTTTGGCCTCTTACAAGGGAGCGCAGATCTTTGAAGCGTTGGGACTTTCATCGGAGGTTGTTTCGAGGTGTTTTAAAGGAACTCCCAGTCGTGTTGAAGGAGCGACATTCGAAATGTTGGCCAAGGACTGCCTCAGGTTGCACGAATTGGCTTTTCCAGCGCGCGAATCGCCAGAAGGTAGCGCCGACGCCAACGCCCTCCCGAATCCTGGTGATTATAACTGGAGGAAGGATGGTGAGGTTCACTTGAATGATCCCATGGCCATGGCCAAGCTTCAAGAAGCTGCACGAACCAACAGTGTTGAGGCCTACAATGAATTTTCGAAGTTGACACACGAGTTGAACAAGAAAGTAAACGTGCGTGGTATGCTCAAGTTCAAAGAGCAGCCAGAGTCTACCAGAATTCCTCTGGACAACGTTGAATCTGCTGCGGAGATCGTGAAGCGGTTCTGTACAGGCGCCATGAGTTATGGTTCCATTTCCCTGGAAGCACATTCAACTCTCGCCATAGCCATGAACAAGCTTGGTGGCAAGTCCAACACAGGTGAGGGAGGAGAAAACCCTAGGAGACTGGAACCACTCTCCGATGGTTCTCAAAATCCTCAACGAAGTGCAATCAAGCAAATCGCCAGTGGACGATTCGGTGTGACCAGTTACTACCTTACTAATGCTGATGAGCTTCAAATCAAGATGGCTCAGGGTGCCAAGCCAGGTGAGGGAGGGGAGTTGCCTGGTCACAAGGTGATTGGGGACATTGCTGTCACTCGGAATTCCACACCCGGTGTTGGCCTTATCAGTCCTCCACCACACCACGACATTTACTCCATTGAAGATCTTTCTCAGCTCATTCACGATCTGAAGGTAATTCTATGCTTTCGTTTTCTGAAGGGAATGAAAACACTTACGTAAATTGAGTGTGCGATGCTTTAGACTTCACTTGGTCTGCATTTTGTATTATTTCCGGAGGTTCTGAGGATGTAATCGTTATTGCAGAATGCCAACCCTGCAGCCAGAGTCAGTGTGAAGCTGGTGTCGGAAGCAGGAGTGGGAGTTGTGGCTAGTGGAGTGGTGAAGGGTCATGCAGATCATGTCCTCATTTCTGGTCACGACGGTGGAACTGGTGCTAGTCGCTGGACTGGTATTAAGAATGCTGGGTTGCCTTGGGAGCTTGGTTTGGCAGAAACTCATCAAACCCTAGTTGCAAATGATCTCCGTGGTCGCACTATTCTTCAAACAGACGGACAGTTGAAGACTGGACGGGACATCATGATTGCTGCCTTGTTGGGAGCGGAAGAATTCGGATTCGCTACCGCTCCTCTTATCACCATGGGATGTATTATGATGCGTAAGTGCCACAAGAACACTTGCCCAGTCGGCATCGCCACTCAAGACCCCGTCCTGAGAGCGAAGTTCGCCGGACAGCCAGAGCATGTCATCAACTACTTCTTCATGGTTGCCGAAGAGGCCAGGGAAATTATGGCTAATTTGGGAATCTCCAAAATGGACGATCTTGTGGGTCGCGCTGATCTTCTACAGGTGGACGAGGAGGTCATGGCGGAAAATGAGAAGCTCGCCAACATCGACCTCTCCTTGTTGCTGCGCCCCGCAGCTGAGATCAGACCAGGGGCTGCGCAGAGATGTGTGCAGAAGCAAGACCATGAACTGGAGCTTGCGTTGGACCAGAAACTTATTAGCTTGTCTCATGCTGCGCTGGAGAGCAAGGTTCCGGTTTACATTGAGAGCCCCGTTGTGAATGTGAATCGAGCAGTCGGTACAATGCTCAGTCACGAGGTAACCAAACAATACAAATTGGAAGAACTTCCTACTGATACCATTTATGTGAAGCTGAATGGAAGCGCCGGGCAATCTCTGGGGGCTTTTACGTGCAAAGGGGTCACACTGGAGCTCGAAGGTGACAGCAATGACTACGTTGGAAAGGGTCTTTGTGGCGGTAAGATCATCGTGTATCCTCCGAGGTCTAGCACATTTGATCCTAAGGAGAACATCTTGATCGGTAATGTTGCCCTCTATGGAGCAACCAGCGGAGAGGCATATTTCAACGGTATGGCAGCAGAAAGGTTTGCTGTGCGTAACTCTGGAGCGAAGACCGTTGTAGAAGGAGTTGGAGATCACGGATGCGAGTACATGACCGGTGGTGTTGTCGTGGTCCTTGGTGAGACTGGCAAGAACTTCGCTGCGGGAATGAGTGGAGGTGTTGCATATGTGCTCGACAAGGAAGGTACTTTCTCGTCAACTTGCAACACGGGGTTAGTTGATTTGGATCCCGTGGAAGAGGAAGAGGACGTCATGACTCTAAGGGCTATGATTCAGCAGCATCAACGCCACACTAAGAGTCAGCTCGCAGGAGAAATTTTAGCCAACTTTGATTCCCTGCTTCCTAGCTTCATCAAGGTGTTCCCCCGCGACTACAAGCGTGTGTTGAAGGAAATCAAAGCTAAAGAGGAGGCAGAGAAAATGAAAGTAGCTGCCGCTGCGGTAGCTGACGCGGGGCTTGCGGCTTCAGTTGCTAATAGCGCACCAAAGGTTGAGGAGGTATGTTGAGCTCATTACGCCTCAAAGATCAAAGGAGCTCACCAATCAATTATTTAGTTCATCATTTTTGTTATTATTTTGAGCATCCAGGATCTATGATTCTCAATAGTAGCATGGACACTGCAATGATTCCGTCTTCGTTTTGTGTTCGCAGAAGGCAGCTCCTTCCACCATTAGGCCTACCGAAGTCTCGAACCCAATTAAGCACGGTGGATTCGTGAAGTATGATCGGAAGCCGTTGCCTTATCGACCTGCGGAAGAGAGAATGAAGGATTGGGGAGAAGTCTTGGCCTCCGACAACCAGGATGGCCTCGTGAAGACGCAGTCAGCCAGATGTATGGATTGCGGCACTCCCTTTTGCAACCAGGACAAGACTGGCTGCCCCTTGGGAAACAAGGTCCCTGAATGGAACGAACTTGTTTACCAGAACCGGTGGAGGGAGGCCTTGGATAGGCTTCTGGAGACAAACAACTTTCCCGAGTTCACAGGCCGCGTCTGCCCTGCCCCTTGCGAGGGAGCTTGTGTTCTTGGCATTATAGAGAACCCCGTGTCAATTAAGACTATGGAGTGCACGATCATCGACAAGGGCTTCGAGAATGGATGGATGGTTCCAAGACCGCCTTTGAAGCGGACTGGGAAGAAGGTGGCCATCGTGGGCAGTGGTCCGGCAGGACTTGCAGCTGCTGACGAACTGAACAAGAAGGGCCACTCCGTGACAGTCTTTGAGCGTGCAGACAGGATTGGAGGTTTGATGATGTACGGTGTTCCCAATATGAAGACCGATAAGGAGAATGTTGTGCAGAGAAGAGTAAACCTTATGGAAGCGGAGGGTGTGCAATTTGTGACCAATGCACATGTTGGGGTGGATCCCGTCTACTCGGTTGAAAACCTTCGGTCTGACTATGATGCTCTGTTACTAGCGACTGGTGCAACTAAGCCAAGGGATCTTCCTGTGGAAGGTCGCGATCTGGCTGGAGTTCACTTTGCAATGGAGTTCCTACACAAGAATACCAAAAGCCTGTTGGACAGCAACTTGGAAGATGGACAATACATTTCTGCCAAGGGGAAGAAGGTAGTTGTTATCGGAGGCGGTGACACTGGAACGGATTGCATTGGCACATCTGTGAGACACAGTTGCGCTAGTGTTGTCAACTTGGAGCTTCTTCCTCAGCCACCACAAACAAGGGCGGCCAACAACCCATGGCCTCAATGGCCTCGCATCTTTAGAGTGGACTACGGGCACGAAGAGGCAGCCACCAAGTTTGGAAAAGATCCTCGCTCTTATGAAGTCCTGACTAAGAGGTTCATTGGTAATGAGAAGGGAGAGGTCACAGGAATGGAGCTTGTGCGAGTAGAATGGAGCAAAGGGGCCGATGGAAGGTTTCAAATGACCGAGGTTGTTGGATCTACCCAAATCATCGAAGCTGACCTTGTTCTTCTAGCCATGGGTTTCTTGGGCCCTGAGCAAGTAAGCTCATAAACTCTCTCTCCACTACGCAATCTCTTTTACTCATGAGAATTTCGCATTCAGCGAAAACTTTTGTTGTTATTTCTCTTTGGGATGCTTATGATGTGGCTTTTTATCATTCATTTGCAGAACATTGCAGAGAAATTGGGACTTCAGACCGACGCCCGATCCAACTTCCAAGCAGACTTCGGCAAGCATGCAACCAACTCGCAAGGTGTGTTCGCAGCTGGTGATTGTCGGAGAGGGCAGTCTCTGGTAGTGTGGGCCATTGCGGAAGGGAGGCAAGCAGCTGCCCAAGTAGACAATTACCTCATGGTAAAGGAGGTTGTTCTGGAGCAACTGCCGTCAGAGGAGCATATCCGTGAGTTCATTGCCACCAGTAGCGTACAATAGCTGTAGCCATATGAGGGAGAAGTCCTCGTACATGAGATAATATTATGTTCAAGAAGACAGTTTTGGAGGGTGCATTGCAATATTATAGCTCAAATTATGCTGATGAATCCTTTCTTAGGTCGGAAGCTATGGAGAGATTTATAAACCAGTGGGTAGTGTTTTTGACTCTCGGGTGGCTGAGTTCCTCATCCATAACTGGTCGTGTACAGTGAATTCTTCTCAAAGGAGAATTATTGTCCTTGTACAGTGAGGAAACATTCCCGCTGTACACGCTTTACGGTCATCTTCGGTTCTGCAAGTGTTCTTTTCTTTCTTTCTTTCTTCCTTTCTTTTTGTTTCATTTTTTATATTTGTGTCTGTGGTCTTTTTGTTTCATGTGGATGCTTGGTGTGTCTGTGTATTCATTTATGGATAAAGTTGCAATTGCATATTATAGGTACATAATTGATTTGATGTAAAAATTGATAGGATGAATATTCTTCAGCTTTTATGAAGTAGGACTTACGTATCCTGATATCGCAAAATATGAACTAGTTATCCAATCATCTACGTGAATCAATTACTAAATGTGTTGTGAACATGATGGTTAAAATTTTATGAATTTTTTTTATTTTTTATTTTTTAAGTTGTCATAATCAAGCCTCTTTAAATTAGGGCTTTTTTTCAAAAAAATCTGAATTTTCCTAGAATAAGATATTAGCATAGTGCTTGTTTTGTCAAAAGCTCAATCATGAAAAGGTCAATTTCACAAGGCATAAGCGGAAGTAGATGGTGGATGTAAAAATATTTTCCATTCCTTTCTGCACAGACATCTTGTTACATATGAAGTCGTAGCATGCCAATATATAGGCAAAATACAATGCCTTTCCAAATAACTTGTTACATATGACGTCGTAGCAGGCCAATATATAGGCAAAGTACAATGCCTTTCCAAATGAGTCAAAGAAGTTCTTAGATCAAGTGAATTTCAAAAATTCCCTTGCAGCTTATTTCAAGATAAAGAAAGCATTCATGTTTACAATCAATTAGGACATTGTGGACATGCTTATTGGTGACATATTATTCAATGCTAATGATGAGGAATCCATGCCGACTTGTGAATAGGTATTGTCAATTTTCAAGTTGTTTGAAGATTCAAACAATGACCAAGTTGAATTTGATTGAGAGTAAGATTTGAAAAAAAAAAAAAAAAAAAAAAAAAAAAATCATATAAGGTGGAGATCATTTCTTTGTAGTTGTTCTATCTTGTGATTGGCTTCATCTTCTATGGAGCCTCATTCCAAATTGCAACATGTCTTTTGCATGTCATAAAGATCGTGTTGTATATAAGTTGCTTCAGTGGATGCAATGATAGCCGTATGGCTTTGATTGTAAGAATGGTTTGTATTGTGAGCTTGTAGAAAATCATCGAGCTCCTCTACATACAATGGACGTTTTTGCTTGTTCTTGACATTGTCTTAATCCAAGGCACTTCTTATCTTAACTTCTAAGTTTGATTCGAGTATCAATAAAAGTTGCACAACCTCCACCTTCTTACCATTCCACTTTTTGATCACAAGATAACTAAAACAATCTTAGTTGTAGGTGCAAATTTTTTGGATGTCATTGCTTTAAATAGATGCTACAACTAGTTGGAATTAGTATAGATGACAATCAAATAATGATTGGGCAGATTTTTGGCATCACAAGGAGGATGGTTGAGGCGATTTGTGATAGAGTTGTGCAGGTGTGGTGTATTATGCACCAACTTAACCTCGTGGTCTAAGCTAAGTACATCAAGCTGTATGCCATCCAGTTTGTCAATATCTTGATGAGCCTCGTCTCTTATCTTTGTCAATAATATAATCTCATTGTAAAGATAGATTGTAGATGCCTAAAATTCATAGACATGGAGTAGTTATCTATGAAAAAATTGAGTGGATTTTTGAAGCAAGGATGCGGGGTGATAATGAGTACCTTGTGCAAAAGCTACTCGCATGTACTTCTCTCCCTTCTTAATGGGTGGTACTATTTACACTTGATGACATTGCATGGTAATCTCAACCATTGTGATATGCTTGCAAGGATTGAGGATCCCTCTAAATCAACATAAAGCCTAGCTCAAAGGCTTGATTTAGTCATTGATAGGTTTGTGCAAAGTGCAAGATCCGATTAGTGCTGAGACTTTGGCCATAGCTTATAGTGCCCCAAATCTAGTCATTAGCAAATTTTAGTGTGTGGCTCTCATAAGAGCAGAGGCTTTCATTCAAGATCAAAGAACCTTCATAATGAGTCTCATGGCTTCGTTGCCTGTAATCAAGGCGAAGATTGTAGTTTGTAACTTAGCAATCTTATTTGTTGGGCTCATCGATGGCATTACATCTATTTTTTCCTAGCGCAATTCCAAAAATGATGCTAGTAACGAGGACAATCCAAAAGTATTGCCTCACAATTTGTATATACTAAAAATATTTTTGCTATGCATTTCTATCTATTGGCATATTTTGTAGTTGGAATTGGTTGGATGAAATGCTCACTCCATCAAGGATGTTGAGAATGATTGCTAAGCCATAGTACACGCCTATCACAACGAGATGACCTTCAAAGATGCCATTGATAAGTACTCCAATTCACAAACAAAATTTCGTGTCAGAGGGACTTATCAGGATGGTTGATTTTCATAACATCAAAATTTTTGTGGTAGTCTGGCCTTTATTTTTCTTAACACAAGCATTGTCAAATCCAACTTCTTCATGATTGAGTGGAAGAAGGACTAGTATTGGCAGTGCCTCACAAGCTTCTTACTTAAAAATATCGTGCACTCAATTCAATAGAGTCTATTGAATATGAGAAAGATGGATGTTTTAGACAGATTTGTAGATGAATTTCATCCATTTTAATTTATCTAAAATAAAATTTAGCCATGATCCTAAAATAAGCTAAATTAGGTATTTTACAAAAAATCCTAGTTGAAAGAAGTCTGGTCATAATTATTAAATAAAATTGTTATTATATGTATTTTTTTAATTATTCATATATACATATATATATATATATATATATATATATATATATTAGTGTATATTTGTAATAGAACTTTATAGTTTTGCAACATCTCAATTTAAAATTAAATTCTTCAATAATATTAATGAAATTCATCATTATAATTTAGTTACATATATCTACAATTTTTTTTATTTTTATTTTTGGTGTAGAAAAAAAAATACTATAATCTACAATATCTTATAATATTAAACCTCCACTAGTCTTAATGTATGAAACTTCATAAGATATTATCTTGGTAAAAGAATTAGTTTAGAAAGAACATACATTTGACATATCTACATCTTTATCTACAAATAAGAAAGAAAATAAAATAATAAAAATTCTATTAATATTTCTATAAGCTATTTTATTTTAACATATTAAACATAGTTTTTATTTACTTATTTATTTATTTTTACAAATACTTTGACATATGCTTTTAATTGATTTATGTACAAAATATCTTTAAATTTATATTTCAAATTTTCATAAAATTAAGTATTTTTCAAATCTAAATAAAAATATTTAGGTCTTTGAAAAGTATGGATATTATAAAGACTCCAATGGTAAAGAAATGCAAATTATACATAATGTAATGTATACATGTAATATATGTATGATAGTATTTTACTAAAATAAAAATAAAAAACATTTAAGTTATTTAAGATTCAAGTTTTTCTATCTTTATATACAATTTTAAAAAAATTATACAAACTTTATGAATTTACATTCATTAAATCTTAAGTTAAACATATTAAATTGTAAAACTTTATCACTATGATAAGAAAACAAGTCATTCTTGATGATGAATTATCTAAATTAGTATGTATTTTAAGATATAGTTGGAACAATAATGTACTCACAATTATTTATTATATATAGATGGCAATTATCAAGAAGACCTTGCTATCTTGGCAAGAAGATATATTGGTTGTTAATAGTGGAATGAGTAAAAATTGTTTTGTAACATCGATTGCCTTATTCAAATATACAATTTTTCTAGAACAAAATTGAAGGAAAACGTAAATGCAAAGATTACTTACACATAAACAACATGCAAAGTTGTAAATAATTAGTGACACCCCATCAATTTTTTCATCACTGAGTTCAAAACAGAGCAATGCACTGTAAGGACAAGTAGAAACGTAACAATGAAGACAGATAAAAAGTGCTAAAAAAGCTCAAATGATAAATGAACATCAAGTTTCAAACATGCGTGAAGATCTGTCCAGACTTGCTGCAGATACTTTAAGCTAGGGCATGAGCCCTGCATGTGGGTTTAGACGTTCATATACCTTACTCTTGGTTTGTGTTACAATGCATGCTTAAGATCTAGGTGAAAAAAAACAAAAGGCACTAGCTATGAGGATAACAACCACCACAAACATTACAATTGTGGGGAGGAGCTCGAAGCCGCTACAAGCAACACTTCAACCTAAAGCTGCAGGACAATTAGAAAAGCCTCTAAGAACCTCACTTCTGCAAACCAACAAACAAAGTCAGCTGTGGAAATAAGCCTAAACCTCGTCTTCATTTAGTAGCATATTAGGAACACCTTTTGTCACTGGAAATCGTCGGCCAGTTTCTGGACATATCAGAGCACCTTCCTCCAAATGGACCTGCCAGTACATACACGAGTAAACAAGTTTGAGCATAGTAGTGTAGATTGAGAGAATACATTCGGTAAATGCCGGAGTTTTGCATATATTATTGCTAATAACTGAAATTCGAAAATATATATACACATATATTGATAAAGAGCCCTCAGAAACATAAAGTTAAAATAAAGCTCAACGCAAAATGTGACGAGTATGGCCACATGACTTGTGATACTAACAAAGAAACAAAGGAAAAAAGAAAAAAACAAACAAACAAAACAAACAAAACAAAAACAAACAAAACAAACAAAACAAAAACAAACAAACAAACAATTAGACATAATAACAACCTGATACGCAATCCCACTTAGTACAAAAGAAATTTAATTCAGCGTGGACTTATTGCTCACAGTATTGAAGATTAGAAACGTCGTCAAACTACAACGGGATTGCGCATGTGATCACAAATTCTTGTCACACTATTCATAAATCAAAGCTCAAAAAATAACCACAAATTTACCTCAAGCAGCGCGTGGTGAAATTTTCGAAGAAATTCATCATCGTCCAACATAACAGGCTCGACCTGGTCGGGAATGTTATTCACACCAACCTACAGAACAAAACCAAGAATCAACACCTCTGCAAACATTGGTTCTCGAAAGCACGCAATCAACTTACATCCTACAACCTTAAGTAGCAATACTTCGACTACAAAATCCGTTCCCACGGTTCGGGCTCAAGTCCAGAGTCTGCCCAGCTTCTGCCCTATACTACTGCCGCGACGTAAGCACTGGGTAAACAGAGATGTCTTCTAAAACGTGGGCAGTAACAAGCATGCCACAAAGAGCCAAAGTTGGTGAAAAAAAATCAAGTCATCTCACTCAACGACACAACGCGAGCAACCCTAATTCTTTCTACAACAAGGGAAGAAAAATATTAGAAATGCTCCAACACAACAATCCAGCCTAACTCATGAAGCGAGTTCCTACACTCTGCGCCGCCTCGTGAAACGCCTTCCAGTCAAGTTTAGGGAAAATGTGTCTCAAGAAATCCGCATTGAGCTCCGACTCCTTGGTCTCCAGGCGCGTGTGCTCTATTCCTAGCGGAAATCCTTTCGTCACTCCCTTGATGTTGCACGCCAGCATGTTGTGCGTGAGAAGCCTCATCTTGACCAATTGGCGTCCAATACTCCTCCCACAACCAATCCCTCCGTGGGTTTCTCTTTCTCTCTAGCTCACACACACACACAAACCTGATGCTAACAACCTTACCGGCAAGATTCTACACTGGATCGGACCCCACAACATTTGCGCTTCTCCAACCCTAAATGCCAAGGCTTCACAGCGAGTTTCGTCGTAGTCATCTTTATAGCGTAAAGATTTCCTCTCGAAATGCTTCTTTCCTCGAGGTCGGATTTTCCTTCAAATCTGCGTTGTTCCTTCCTCGTAAAAACGTATACTACGTCAGAAATATATATTATATGAATGTATGTATTTGCGGTTATTCATATACGACGAATATAAAAAGCTAATACAGATTCTGGGTGGAATGTGCCGTCGCCAAATTTATGAACTAGGCCCCATATGTTGGAATCGTCGAAACGTTGCCGCATGGTCGTTGAAGTGCGTGCTTGTGGTTTGCTAATGTGAGCAGTCGATGTAATCCGTCTTTGGCTAATCACTTAGGAACTCTCTCGTCTTACCTTCTCGCTTTGTGTTAGGAATTTGTAAAGAACCTTGAGAAAGCTACGGTGCTAGGAGTTTTCGATTCATGCCCTATGTTGCTGAATCAGACAAAAAGGCTCGTGACCATTTTAATGTAAGTACATAATTATTTTATGATCTTTCTTCAGTTGTTGTTTTCTATTTGGCGACTTGTTGTATGGTTCGGTGTATCTTGCACTGCTTTTGGTAATGTCGATTGGAATATTCCTAATTGTTGGCGAGCTGATGTGAAATAGCAGGTTACGAAGGAAAGGTTTTGTGGGGAGTTCTAGTTTGGTTCTAGCTGATTGACTGCTGAAAATTCCAGAGAGTGCGAGATGGAGGTCGTCGAATCTAAGGGCGTGACTGTGGATAACCCACAATCCTGCGATGTCGGAAGAGAGAAGATTGCAAATAGTATGTATATGGCTTCTTTGTGAAGTTTTCTGTAGAAATTTCGCTATTGCTAGGTGAGGACGTCTCTGCTACTGGAGATGCATGGATTGTATGATATGAGCTTCTCCGACATTGTTATGCAGTCTTGACGAGATCTTTCTAAGCTTGTGGCGTATCAAGCTGTTTGGGATTCTGTTGCGGAAATCGTTGTAGATGACACAATCAGCCCAATTAAAAAACTATATCATAGTTATTAGAAAATAGAATACTCCTCTATCTGGTACTGGTCACGAGGAAGTATGTTACAAAACACTGAAACGAATTCCCTATCTTGTTCATATCTGAACTCCAATGTGGAGAGGCAGTTCTAACGCTAGAGTGCAAAGGCATCTTAGGGTTCGCAATCTGGAACGTCTGATAGAAGGGGTTGAAACTTAATTGAATATTGTGATGCATCTATGCAATGAAAGATGATACTGGACAGGGAACACTTTTCCGAACAAGGAGGTTCGTCCTGTTAAATAACTTGTTTGTACTTTATGTAATTTGCTTAGCCTTGAAGTTGAATCAAGGGCGAAATTACTCAGCTGATTTCAGATGTTGCGCATTCGCAGAGAATGAAGATAGAGAGCATAACATAAACTCAGTGCTTAGAGATGACGATCTCCAAGCTGTCTTGGCAAAAGTAAGCCTATCTTCTGATAGAGACGCATGTGCACTGGTGTGCAAGCGATGGAAGGCTATACAAGACAGTAATAAGAAGAGCATGCGCTTGCGCGCAGGACCTGTCATGCTGGAGAGGATTGCAGCTCGTTTCTCATCCTTGACTAGCCTTGATATGTCACAAAATTCTGAATTCCCAGGCTGGAAGGATTCAAATCTCAGTTTAGTTGCCCAAAGCTTCAGTCGCTTGGAGCGTCTAAATATAAATAACTGCAAAGGTTTGTTTCATTTCTCAGAGAGGCCTGATAATTTTTGAAATTCTTGAGTTTCGTTTTGGTCTTTCTAGGCTTACATAGGAATGTACTTTGTCACTGACGCTAATGGTGGATGTGTTTGCTCAATATCATGTGAAATTCTTATGAAAGATGGTTATAACCACATTCATAACTTCTGCGAAAAGTTTTGATTATCCATCAATTGATATCGTTGATATTTGAGTGCCGCAACTTGCAGGAATCAGTGACAAGGGCCTAACAGCAATTGGTCAGAAGCTTTCAAGTTTACAGTGGTTGGATGTTTCTGGCTGCAAACAAATTACAGATCTGGGAGTGGAGCATATTGCAAGCAGATGTCATGGTTTGCGGGTTCTCTATCTTAGTCGTTGCAAGCTCATCACAGATAATTCGCTTGCTGCTCTTTCACAATGTCGATTCTTAGAGAACCTTGTCTTGCAAGGTTGTACCAACATAGGTGATGATGGGCTCATCAGGCTCTCAGAGGTGATCATTCAGCCCTTGTTATTCTACTCGTTTTCATGTGGATAGTCGTGCAATGTTGCTGAAGTCTTGCTTCCAAGTGGCCAAGAAGAGCTGATTTTTTTAATAATTTCATGCTTAAAATTTGAGGCATTTACAATTTTCTGTTGTGACAGAATATCCATCTTATCCTCCTTCATTCACTAGCTACATTTTCAAGTTTTATCCATTTTCTCCGAGGCTTGACTATTTGGTCACCTGTTCTTTGATTCATTAACCCAGAAATTGTTTCGTTTGTGCTTGCAGGGGTGTTCTTCTCTACAGGTCTTGGATTTGGCTAAATGTGGGAAAGTAGGTGACATTGGGGTCAAGAGCATCGTTCATGCATGCTCAACATTTCTACATACCTTGGTGTTGGAAGACTGCCCACAAGTTGGTGATGTTGGTGTGATAGCAGCTGGAGAGTGCTGCCAGTCTTTACATACTCTACTGCTTGGTGGTTGTCGACTTTTAAGTGACTTTGCTCTTGATGCTTACTTCAGAAGACACACCAACCTTACCAACTTACAAGTTGAGTTTTGCATGAAGTTGACTGACAATGGCATTAAGGTTGTATTCGCAAATTGCCCTTCCTTGGAAGTTTTGGATGTCAGATGTTGCTTCCTACTTACAGACATGTGCTTTGAGACTCTCAGGCTAGGTGAGAACTGCATAAAAGAACTAAGAATCAGTGGATGTTGCGGTATAACTAGTGAGGGAGTTAAGAAAGTGGCAGAGTCGTGTCCACAATTGACTTTCATAGAAGCCAAATATTGTACACATATTTCCACTAATACCATTGTTTCTATAGCTTTTCTTGATGGTTGTCGAGTCGTTTTAGACAAAGAAACCCTATTGTTCTAGATTGATTTTGGAACCAAAATTATTGATCATGTTCGCATAATGCATATGATCATCATAGTGGTGTTCTATTTCGTAGGGAGGATCCAAAAAACAGTGTCATATGAAAATTTGAGTGGGAAAGTTCCGACTTTTTTAGTTACTGCAATCGATTACATGGTGCAGATTTTGTTGTATTGTTTGTAAAGTTGCTTTCCATTGCTCTTGAGATATTCAAGTTTTTAGTTGCTTAAGGTTGTATGAATCGAAAAGAGCTTGTGTATAGGTTATTGTATCTTAGCTACTATATTGTAAAACATCTTTCAAATGTAAATCTTTATTACAAAAAGTTTTTTTTGGTTTTAATACTTGGTAGTTTTGAATGTAAAAAGAATTGTAGTTGTTAATTATTTTTGATGATATTATTTTTGATAAGCAATTTATGCTTATCTTTCAATCAATACACTTTCTTTTCAATAATATTAATTTATCCTCTTAAATCTCCTTTTAAAGTTTAAAGACATCAAAGATTATAATCAAAATAAAATTAGAAATCTTTAATATTAATTATATTTATTTTGTGATTTAGTTTAAATTTTGTTCTAGTTTATGTATGCAATGGTACCAATAATAATTGCATTCAATCATTAAGATGTAAGTGTAGGTATAAAAAGGACATTTTCTATAATTTTATAAATTTATATTCTTTTTTATTTTTCAAACAATAATAAACATGTACTTACTTTATTTAAAGAATAAGAATTGTGTATGTGTGTTATTTATTTATTTATTTATTTTTTAAAATTTATTAATACATGATCTAAATTAAAGGAATTTATCACCCAAGTTCATCTTGTAACTAAGCTTTAATCATTGAAAACAATCTCAATTAGAATTTATAATTATTTTTATAAGTATAAAATATAATACAATTTAATTTAAAGAATGTTAAATGCATCCAAGTTTTTACTAAAGCAACCTATTTATAATAAAGAATATGATAATCATGATGAATGTAGTTGGTTTTCATTGATTTCAAATTCAATAGTAGAGAAATAAATCTAGATATCATTTTTATTTCATGATGGTTAAGATGGGTGGGTCAATTTAGTAAAATCCTAGGCCTATTTAACATTCTCCATAATTGAATAATTGAATTAGTAATTAAAACTTAAATATTAAAAATTTGATATTATAAATAATTTAAAAAAAAATTATAACAACATAAATAATCATCTTAAATAATATACACATAAAAGATTAAAATATTAAAAACAAAAATTCTAAAAATTACTAAAAAATTTTTTTAAAAAATTGTAGCCAAAATTAAATTTATAAGTTTAAGATAAATTTATAACTTTGGAATCTTTTATTATATTTTTATTTTATTAATGAATTATTTTTTAGTATACTTTTGTAATTTTTAAAATAATAAGGTACTTGAATATTCTTATTTATTAAAATAGATATGGTTAAAAGTTTTGAATATCTCATATATAATATTAATATTCAAAGAAAATTATATATTAAGTATAAAATTAAAAAATATAAAAATTTCTAAGTTGTGTTATAAAAATATTTGTAAATTTTTTCTCAAGTATTTTCTTTATAGATATATGATTAATTTTAAAATAATATACAGTTTCTATTTGGATTCATTTAAAATCTATTATATAAAAAAATTATAGCATAAAATATTATTGGTGTTAAATTTTATAACTTCTATGGCAATTAGATACTATCATTTAAATTAGAATATTTTTTCTATTTTATAATATATCTTCTTTAATAATGTTATTAAGCTTCAATACCTTGGCATGTCTAAGAAGGTCAAATTTATGAAGTGACTCAAATCATTTGGTAATGCTATCAAGCTTGACAACTATGATGTATCTAAGGTAGTTAAAGATGTAAGGTTGTGAAATTCATTTTGCAATGATGTTAGATTTTAGCACTATGATAGATTTAAGGTAGTCAAAGATGTAAAGATTCTCAATTTTTTTAGCATTGGTATCAAGCTTAAATACGTCAATAAATCTAAGGTGGTCAAATATGTGAGGTGGCCTAATTTATTTGATAATAATATCAAGCTTGAACAACTCAATATATCTAAGATAGTTAAAGATGTGAAGTTGCTTAATTCTTTTGGCAAGGATGAAAATTTTAAGCACCCCAACATATTTGAGATAATTAAAGATGTGAAATTATCCTATTTCTTTGAAAATCAATTGTCAATATTGATTTCATTACCCAAAGATGAAATTGCTCTAATTTTAAAAGAATTGTTTGTTGTTCATCAAAAGTTTTATCTCTTTCTTTTGATGCAATATAAAAACATCTTGAAAAGGAATCTAATAAACTTTGTTATTTTTTTGGTCAATAAATAATCTTAAATTCAAATTTTAACAAAAACATGCTTCAATGGATTTGGCAGCAATTTAAAACATGTGCTAATATAAAATACTTAAGGTTCTTATGATATATATATATATAGATAATGACACCACTCTTAAAATGAATCCACAATTGCAAGAAGCTCTTTGTCATAGATCTCATAGCTAATCTTAATTGCTGAAAATTATCTTAAATGAAAAGTTACTAGATGATGTTATGAATTTGCTCCTATTTGTAAGAGCACAATATCCAAAGTAAATTTTGATACGTTTTTTTCAATAAAAAATGCCTTAAAGAAGTTGATGCAATACAAAATCAATGCAAAAATAAAAGTTATCTTTAAAGCTTCAAATGATGCTTTCATTTCTTTATTCTATTCAAGTTTGACTTTATAAACCAAAAGTATCAATAGAGTTATAACTTGGAAAAAATTCTTAATAAAGACTTTATAATAATTATAAAAAAATAAAAAATATTTGACATCTTTTATTATTTTTGGAATCTTCTATTCTATAATAGTTTGAACTTTCTTTGGATCTATCTTAAGGCCATCATTTCAAATGATAAATTTTAAGAAATCAATTTAAATTTTGTAAAATATATACTTTTCTATCTTGGCATATAATCATACATCTCTAAGTTTTTGTAACACACAACAAACATAAAGTTCATGCTCTTACATGTTCTTAAAATAAATTAAGATATTATCTAAATAACAAACAAAAAAATCATCTAAAAATTCTTAAAGAAATATCATTCATAAGATGTTGAAAATTAATTGGTATATTTGTGAATCCAAAAAATATGGCATTATATTCGAAATTTCTATACCTAGTTCAAAATTTAATCTTCTATTTTTTTTTTTAAAAAAAAATATCTATCAAATTATATGCCCATTGTACATCTATTTTGAAACAAATCTCTACTTGATTCAATTGATTAAGAAGTCTTGAAATCAAAGGTAGAGGATACATATTCTTGATGTTGATTTTATTGAGTCTTTAATAATCTATATATATATATATATATATATAATGATTTATCTTTTTTTATTTATTTATAAATAAGATAAGAATTTGTATAAGAAATTCAGAATGATATATGAAATTCTTAGCTATATTCTAATTAATATGTGCTTGAGTACAACTAATTTGTTTCATGACAAACTAAAGATTAGTCCAAATGCTGATTGAACTCTTTGTTAAAGATCAATTAAACAATCATAAGGACAATACATTAAAAGAATATTTGTATTTTTTTTTTCAAAAATATCTTGTCAATCTTGGTATTAGCTTGGAATGCTGCTTGAATTCTTCTACCATTAAAAATATGTAAGTCATAAATAGCAAAAGGTGACTCTTTTTTTGCAACATACATAAAAGCTCTTGTACTTATCAATAAGAATTTTGTATTGTTTCTTTGGATAATATTAAGTAGTATGATTTTTTTCTCCACAATATAAGCAAAAATCTTTTTAATAATATCAAAGAATTTTTTTGATCAATGAGAGGTTTAAAATATATTATATCAATTTACATAGATTCTACTTTTGATGAATAAAGTTTTAAAAACTTAAGAGTTGCCATCATGACGTAACTTGTTCCTCTCTAATCAAATCTTTGTTCTTGCCATCTTTTAAAAAATCAATTATTGTATGCAATGGCTTGAATAATAAATTATTTTAATAATTTTTTTACATTATTAATAAGAAATATTTAATATTATCTTTTAATCTATATTAAAATTTATTAATAAAGACTTTATTATTTCAATATATATTACAAAAAAGTTTTAGAATTCAATGGCATATATGATAATTAAATTTAATCCTTATTATAAATATAAGAATTTAATCTTTATTATTATTTCTTAATAATTTTATTTAATGTGGCCATAATTACTTTGAAGAATGAATTTAGATTATAAAAGAATTTTAAATTCTTTTCCATCAAAAGTATAAATTAAGAAGGATTAATTCTAAATAGAAAGGCACTTATGAATCAAACTTGAATAAATCTATTATGATATTTGGGAGAATATAACATTATATAAAACTTAACTTGTTGTAAAAACCCTTAAAGTTTTGATCTTACTCCATTAAATGTTTTTGGTATATTGATCGTTTTGTCAAGGACATGAATCTCGAAGAAAGAAAATCCTCAATATATTCTTGTATTATTGAAATGAACTAGAAAGTCACTCAAAGATTATATATTATTGAATTAGAATGACTATTGCCAAAGATAAGAAGACTAGCAAGTCTTAAAATAAGATTAAGGACTAAAAAAGACTTAACAAAAGTGAAGAAGGCTTCACTCTTGTTTCCATATATACTCTTAACTAGGAATTATGTGGCGATGTCCTATAGGACCTCAAAAACATGTTGACTTTGCAAGACATATTGTCGTGATGTAACATGACTAATAGGTAAAAAGGATAAAAAATATATTATATTATAGAAGATCTTACTTCAAGTATTATAGCAAATTATCTTAAAAAATAGACAATAGTCCAAAAGAAAGTAGAATTAAAGATTTAAATGCTATCTTTTTACGAAGTAGACTTCTATTTACTTTGTAAGGCTATAAATAAGATAAAATAAGATAGATTAGAAAAATAAAGAATATAAGCATATGTAGGAAGAATTTAGGAGTTAATTGAAATAAAAATTAATTCAAAAAGACAAAATTTGATATCCAAAGAGGACCAATTATTAACCTAGGTCAAAATCAGACCCTGAGGCACAAAACCAAGCACTTATAACAACTTCGGGGTTCTTTGATAGATCAAAGAAAGAAATT